TCTCTGCAATTCGAGAAGATTTATCAAGAAAATTACAGTTACCAGTGAAAGGAGAAACTGTTTTAAATCTGCATACCTTCGGTGAAAAGAACGGGAAACATTGGCGTCGAAAGAAAGTTGAACTTACGCTCCGAAATATTAATGACCCTGAAAAATCCATAAATCTCGAAGTCATTGAAGTACCAGTCATAACAAATGCCGATATACAGGTACCAGATGTAGAAATGAAATCCAAACTCCAAGCATTCGGCGTCACTTTGACAGACTGTGGCACCGCCGATGGAATGAGTCATATTTCCATTTTAATCAGTGCGTACATTATGTGGAAAATAGCAAGCGAAGAAATAAAAAGGATAGAAAGAAATGCCGTAGCGATGAAAACCTTGTTTGGGTGGTGTATACAAGGCAAATTTTCTTCATCATACTTTCAAATCCATGATGCGTGTTTGAACGTGAGGGTAGAAGAGAAACTTCTAAAAAGCGTCGAATCGTTTTGGGATATTGAATCTATAGGAATTAAAAATATTTCTGACGAAGAACAAAATGAAATGGCCTTGCAAATATTTAACAACTCGATTACACAAAAGGGTGATAGATACGAAGTTAGACTTCCATGGAAAGATCAGAATGTGACTTTAAGAGACAATTTTAAGAATGCTGAAAGACGATTTTTAAATCTGATCGAAAAATTTAAATCAAACTTGAACTTTTATGCGCAATATAAGAAGAAGTGATTGACTATCAGCTTAAGGAAGAAATCATAGAAAAGGTCGATCTTGGTACTCCATCTCTGGGAGACGAACTTACTACATACCTCACCGTGCTGTCATCCGTGAAGATCATAATTCTACAAAACTTCGCATTGTTTATGATGCTTCTTCAAAGGAAAAAAAATCATGAATCTCTAAATGATAATTTACTACAAGGACCAAATCTTCTTCCTGAACTTTTGAAAGTTTTAATAAATTTTCGACTTCATCGAATTGCATTTACGTCAGATATTGAGAAAGCGTTTTTTTGCAAATTTCTGTTGCACCTGAAGATCGGGATTCAATGCGATTTTTGTGGATTGATGATTGAATTGAGAGAATTCAAGTTTATCGGATGTGTCGTGTAATTTTTGGAGCAAAATCAAGTCCATTTTTGCTGAGCGCTTGCATTAAGCATCATATAAAGAAATTTGAAGACATCCATCCCAGAACTGTAGAAATGTTAGAAAACTTCATGTATGTTGACGATTTTATTTGTGGATCAGATACGGAGGAGGAAGCTATACAGATATATCATGAAGCCAATGATATAATGAAAAAGGCATCAATGACTTTGACCAAATGGAATTCTAATTCGGATACTGTAAAAAACCAGTATAAATCAAGTGACAACTTCGTTAGCTTTAAATTGCCTGACTGTGATTCCCCCTCAAAGATTCTTGGACTTCAATGGGATACAATTAAGGATATCTTCTGTTTTAATGCACAAGACGTTATTGATTTCATCCAGTCAAATGACCAAACAAAACGTTGTGTTTTAAAAGCTGCTTCAAAAATCTTCGATCCTGTTGGGTTTCTTGCTCCATATGTTATTCAAGCAAAAGTTCTGTTTCAGGATTTATGGCTGAAAGGTGTTGATTGGGATGAAATTATCCCACCAGAATTGCAAGACAAGTGGAACAAATGGTATAGGCAACTATGTGATCTACCTAATATCCAGATACCTCGGTGGTATTTTCGTGATGTTGATGAAACACCTGAAACACACTGAAACTACATTGTTTTTGTGATTCATCTCAAAGTGCTTACGGAGCAGCAGTGTACGTGAAATTCCGTAGCTTAAAATATTGTGGAACAAGTTTAGTGATAGCCAAGAGCAGAGTGGCTCCCCTGAAAAAATTATCTTTACCAAGACTCGAGCTCATGGCAGCAGTGTTAGGTGCAAGACTTGTAACTACAGTCCGTGTGTGCATTTTCCTCAAGCTAAGATTCATTTATGGACAGATTCTCTTATTGTGCTTCATTGGATAAAAAACTCACCACGGCGATGGAAAACATTCGTACAAAATCGAGTGTCTGAAATTCAAGACAAAACATCCCCGAGCATGTGGCATCATTGTCCTGGCTCAGATAATCCAGCCGATAAAATCACACGTGGTGTTAAAGTGAGTGATCTTGTAGTAGATCAAGTGTGGTGGCATGGACCTCCATGGCTTCATCAAGATGAAATAAATTGGCCTAAAGTGAACGAGCATTGTAACATAGTAGATAGTGCTTGAAGAAAGAGTTGTGACTCAAGTTACTAGCAGTGTTCAACCTTTACAACCTGTGTTAAAAATAGAAAACTTTAGTGACTTAGGTAAACTTTTAAGAGTCACGTCATATGTATTTAGATTCATTAATAATTTAAAGTCACAGAATAGAGTGATTGGTCCTGTGACCAAAAATGAAATATGTAATGCTATGTGTTATTGGATTATCTTATCACAAGGTGAGTATTTTTTTGAAGAGTTGAATGATGTTAAATGTAAAAAACCATTGTCTCATAATTCCAAATTGTTTGGGTTAAATCCAGTAATGGATGAAAAGGGTTGTTTAAGAGTTGGAAGTAGATTAGTAAAATCATCATTAGATGTCGATGAAATTCAGCCTATAATATTACCAAATAATTATTTTTCTCGTTTAATTATTTTGAATTGTCATGAAAAGGTACTTCATAGTGGTGTAAATGAAACTTTAGTGCAAGTAAGAGGGAAATTTTGGATTTTAAAAGCTAGACGTTTTGTAAAATCTGTGTTACATGATTGTAGATTTTGTAAAAAATATAATGCTAAAGCTGGACACAAGATATCGGCTCCTCTTCCTGCTGACCGAGTGGAGAAAGTGGAGAAAGCTCAACCATTTGAGGTAAGTGGCATAGATTTCACTGGCCCTTTGTATTTAAAGGATGGTACAAAAGTGTATATTTAAATGTTTACCTGTGCAGTGACTCGAGGAGTCCATTTAGAATTGTTATCAAATTTAAGTACAGAGTGTTTCATTCAAGCCTTACGTAGATTTTTTGCACGTAGGGGTATTTGTAGAGTTATTTATTCTGATAATGCTAAAACCTTTAAAACTGCTGATCGTGAATTAAAATATTTGTATAAATTATGTAAAGATGAAAAGGTTCTAAATTTCCTTGGTAAAAATGGGTTTGAATGGAAATTTATTGTAGAAGGTGCTCCTTGGTGGGGCGGATTCTGGGAACGTTTGGTAAGATCTGTAAAAACTTGTTTAAAACGTATCTTAGGTAAAGCTTCTTTATATTATGAAGAACTGTATACTGTTTTAGTTGAAGTTGAAGCTGTTATTAATTCTAGACCTATAACGTATGTATACAATGAACCAAATGAACCTGATCCTCTTTCACCATCTCATTTTATAACTGGATCTAGATTGACTGTTTTACCTTCACCTGAATCTAAACTAGAATCTACAAGATCTCAGTTGATTAAAAGATGGAAGCATAGGCAATTAATATTAGAGCATTTTTGGAAAAGGTTTTATAAAGAATATTTGTTAGAATTAAGATCAGTCATGTTTTCAAAAACTCCAAAGAATTCTCCCGTGTTTAAAATTAATGATGTTGTACTTGTACGAGAAGATAATGTGAAACGCTGTAACTGGAAGATAGGTAGGATTAAGGAATTATTTCATGGAAGAGATGATAGAATTAGATCTTGTGAGATTCAGTTGGATAAGGGTGTTGTTAGAAGACCAATTGAAAGACTTTATAATCTTGAAGTTCAGTAAAATTGATGCATCCGTTTACGGATGCATGGGGGGTGTATTAAGTTTATGATTATGTATCCTTAGATTGCCATTAGATGGCGGTAGTGTTTGTTTGTAAAAAGAAACTGTGATGTCATAATTATGTATATGTATCAGTTCGTCTTTGGTGTTCGTCAATAAACGTTGTGTGGAAGAACGCTCCTCTGTTTATTACTTTAAATTCGATCCAGTCTGATTATTAGAGACTTGATGGTAAGTAAGAAAGAATGGTAAGTAAACATATACCATCCTTTTTCTAATCTTTTTTAGATAATACTTTTCATGAAAAATTACCAGTAAAAACTTTATAAAAATTATTTATTAATGACCTTTGTTAGTTAACTATGTCGGCTTAAAATTCTATTAAGTGCTATAAGTTGCTTTAATTTTCTATGCTTAAGTCTCCTTCTTACTTTTTCATCAAAAATTTATTAGTTAATAAAAAATATGAAAGTAAAAATTATCTTCTTTCCATCTTGTGCTCACAAATCATTATGGGAATATCCATTTACAGTTATTAAAGCCTGAAAAATGCGATGTTATCGTAATGAGATGATTTGTAGATACTTTATTTTTTACTACGATATTTTTAAATTGCGAAGTTTTTGAACCACTTTATTTTCAACAACGATATTTTGTACCACAATGTTTTAGAACTGCGATGTTTTGTAGCACGACGTTTTTGCCTTGCGTTGTTTTCGTCCGTGATGTTTTTGCCGCGATGTTATCAGCAGACACCAATAAAAATAATACTCAAGCTAAGTTTCAAAGCAATGGAAATATCTAACATTAAGATTCTAAGAAATACTTTATATCTGCTAATTTACTTTATGACCAAAACACTCAGCAGAAGATAATTTTGTTAGCTCAATGTATCTGAAGATAATTCAAAATGTATTCAGTGTAAATAACTAAGTAATGTGTTACTATAAAAAAGACAGACATTGCTTAGATTTTGACAAATAAAAATATTTATCCTAATTCAAATAGTATTCATAGTCTACAAATAAATAAATCACATAACACCATGTATAAATACGACAAAGATATATATAGATGTCAGTAAGTCCTATTTTTTTAAAAAATAAATCTCTGAAATCTAATGATAAAGTTGTCTGATTAAATCTTAAAGAATCTTAAAGAAGTATTGTAGAATTCTAAAAATTAACTTAAAACTTACTGAAAAATGTTACTTACGAATTAGGATCAATTTCAAATACATCATATAACTTAACAACTCGAGGATGATCAAGAGACTTGTGAATATTATATTCTCGTAGGGCATGTCTGAAAAATAAAAAATTAAGCTTCATAATCACTTAAATAAGAATCACATTACATACACCAAAAGAAAGTTGCTTGCAAATTAACAAACAATAACAGAGATAAAAGAAGGGGAGAGAATTTTATATATTTTAAAATATTACCATGTAATTACATATTTTACCAACAAAATTTTAATATAGGCTCTAATCAAAGCAAATAAACCAAACATGCAGGATATATATTTTTGATTATTTATTGAATCATTTATTAATCTAAATCAGTATGTTCAAATTGTGTGGGTTTCATGAATAATAATAATAATAATAGTAATAATAAAAACACTCACACTAGTTGGTTAATGTTTATTAACTAAAAAATATAAAGGTATATTTAGTTACAGATTAGTTTCAAAACTTAGTGACGAATTAAAGAGAATGATGTGCTATGTTTTGCACAGCTAAGAAGTTTTTTAATAGAAAATGATCTGAATTTAGATGATAGTGTTAAAAGTTATACAATGGAGCACCTTCTTCAATTGAAAAAAACTATAAAAGAATATTTCCCAGAAGAAAAAAACTAAATATGACTGGATAAAAAAAATCTGTTCGGGTACTATGATAAATCAGAAGGCTTGCCAATGAAGGCAAGAGAACTTATTGACATCAATAGCTTATTGACATCAATATCACACTTTTTATTTTAACACTAAATCTAAGACTTTTCTTTTGTGACCTGAAGTGCACAGCACACAAAAATTTGTGAAATCTCTCCCAGCTATGTGAATTACTACCTTTGAGCTGTTTGTCAACAGACACTATACTGAATATCAAAATAAACTTGTATTGTAATATCAATAGATATAGGAGCAAGAATTCAAATAAAATACTTTCGTTGTGGCAAAAGATTTAAATAAACGAACAGACTGAATGTACAGGTCAATATATAGTTCAAAAAATGCTATTAAATTAATTTTGACCAACAATTTTCTTTAAATATTAGAATAATTCTTGTACTGTTCAATTTTTTTAACTGGTGAAAATTTTAGGATTTGATGACAAAAACGTATATTACAGTCAAAAGTCGTTAATCTGGACCTCAAAGCTACAAACTTGCGCATGCGTCAATGCATAAAGCGTTCACGCATGCACGTAATACTTTTACGCATGCGCGTTTAATGTATAACGGACGGTATACGCTAAGCTAAAATTATTTAATTATCTACTTCAGTTAATGTTGCAGATTGCATTGTTCCTTAAATCTTCTGATTGAATCCGGCTTATTATTTTTTGCAGACTGTTAGAGCAATTTTATAAAAGTAAGCTTGAACTTTCGATTATGTCAAATAGAATTTCCGATATATATTTACTAATATATAAAGGATCTCCAAAGCGAAAGTATGTTTCGACGTCCATTAAAAAAAAAGTGGAATTGCTGCAAAAAATGGATAAAGGCATATCCTTTGTTTCTCTAACCATTCCGAAATCTGCTTATCAATTAAACGTGCTCTGCGACGGGGTGGGGGGGTCGCGAAGCGCTATGAACTGGAAGTTGATCTGCCAGCACTATCCTTATCTTCAGGGCAGATGTTTTTATTTTATTCGGCTTATAATTCCTTACTAAATGTAGTATTTATATGTACTAAATGTAGTACTCCGATATGATTTAAATCAATTTCCTTGTCATTATAAATATCACGAATACACATCAAATAGTTTTCTGTTTGCAATTTTCTAATTTCAACTATTCGTAATGTATGATTTACGCATGCGTGCGTTGAAAGAAATGTTTAATAAAGTAAACAAATGAATATGAAGCTTTTTTTTTTTGTAAATTTTGATACACTTTAGATCATAATTGCTCTTTATTTCATAAATTACGGTTTCATATTTTTAATTTTATAATTTCTGCATGCCATCTTAACAGATTTAAACTGATGATCTATAATCCGGAATCGACGAAGTCCCGACGAGTCCGGATTAAAGACTTTTGACTGTATATGATATTCTGGGGGGGGGGGAGGAATTTTTTTTTGAAAGCCAGCAATGGAAGCACTTCAACTTCCAATACTAGCTTCTGAAATGTTTAAATTAGTTCAGATGCTTATAAAGCAGTCAGATATGTACTTAAACACACTGACAGCTTAACCCTTGAATGTCATGGCTGTCTATCCGATCATGAGATCTTTTGTTATTTGGTATATATTATCTACTAAAGTAAAATAAAGTAATATATAATTTTTGTATTTTCTTTGATAATCTGAATATTATCCTCATAAATGAAAGATTATGAAAACATTGACTAAAAGAATTAATTACATAAATTAAGTACTGTTTAAGTACAGTTCTTCATAATCAGATCCAAAAACTGTGCCATCAGATGGTTAAATTTAATATGAAAACACTTATTATATTTTGTAATTAATTATCAAGGAGTTGTTCCATTACAATAATTTAGAACTGATATAAAGTGTTGATAGCAGCATGTAGTTATGGAATAACCCATTTTAAAAACAATGACCTTTAACACTTTCCGGCATGCTACCTTTTAAAGTTAGAGTTTTGATAAAAAAATAAATAAAAAAAAAAGGGGGTAGGCAGTCTAATAATTAGGCCTAGAGGAGTACACAAGTAAAATTTTGTGATCTTATCTTTTAATTCTGTCAGTGTGCCCTCTTTGGGCACACTGATTGAATAGAGCTTCGAAAAGAGTGCTGAAACGAGCATTGTTGTCAATGAACTGACCGATGAGACGCGGAGAAACAAAGAATACAGACTCTCAGTTGTCCTAGATTACTCGCCGTGAGCTCCAATCTGGGGCATAAACACCTAGGGTTCGCATTTGATTTTAGGCAAGATTTCAAGGTAAAAATTTAAAACTAATATAGAATAAGGAGATTAGCGTTCAACTAAAAAAATAACATAGAAATTTCTTTTCAAACAATTCCTTTTATACCCTAAAAAAATCTGGAAGATTTCTTTGAAAAATGAGGGTCTTAAAAAACTAAACACGGCTAAAATATATGGACGGGTTTGTGTTGAGCTGCCATCTACTATAAAAAAAAGAAGGTTCAACGTAATCTATAGTAACTTATAAATCCTTTTCATTCAATTTTTATGTGCCTACAGAAGGAAATTTTTAGGTGTGTCAGAACAGACACACTGTGCCGCAAAGGGTTAATTTTAAACAATTTGTTTAGTTAAGTTTTATGAGTAGTATGTTTACACTTCATATATGATTTCAGAAACAATCCTTTTTAATTTTATGAAATTTAATTAAAGATTGTTTAAATATTTAATGTTCAAACTCATGATTTCAATGACTAAAATGGTTTTATCAAGTACTTTAAGAAGTACTGTATGTTCATGAATACATCGCACCACTGAATATAACACGTTCACCCGATTCTTTTCCATGCACCAAAAAAGAAAAAAATGTCAGCGAATATAGTGCACATATTTTCATCAAGTCTACTGAAAGCTTAAATTACTTAAAAAATCTTTTCTCTGGATTATGACCATAAAGAAACAAAGAAATATGATACTGATTGACGGTTATCAGGAAAGAAATCTGAGCTACCACCTGCAGCTTCTGCCAAAGTATGTAGCAACACATGCCCAGTAATATTTTAATGGAAAGGAATAAATTGGTTTTTACAACAGAAAGAAAAAAACTGCTAATCTAAGTATGTTATATAAAATTTTATTTGTTGAACAATAGCTTCAGCTAGCAATAATCATTGCATTAAATATGGATTTAAAAGTCATGAATGATCCTTGAAAATCTACCAGTAATCTCACAAAGGCAGATAACTTACCACACTATGGCACTTACTCCTTCCCACTTTCTTAGTCTGGAAACACAATGTAGATTTTCAATTTTTACTTGCCTTCTGCACTGCTGTCATCACTGAACTGCCGAACTATTTTCTTCTTCCTCATCATCCCACACTGCACAATCCTCACTTCCACCTGCGTTATTTGATAGTTCGCACTTTTTGAAGTTCTAAACAAGTTCTTGCAAAATTCTATTCCAGGCAGCTTTGATCCATTCACATATTCAAGTTATTTTCAGTTATTCAGTTGTTATTTCTTTAGATTTTACGGTGCCAAGTTCTATATGCTTTTGAGAAAACACATGCCGTTTACAGTCATCTTTTCCGCCATGAGCAACTGAGAAGTCTTTGTTGCATACACTGCAGTGTGCGTGATTCACAGAAATTTCGGACGCTTTAATGCATGGAAATTCTGAAGAATATGAATCTTTAAACTTCTGCTTTGATAATTTTGGCTTCTTCGTTCGAGGCAGCATTATGATTAAAAATCTTTCACCTGATTCACAGTTCACAAGACACACGCTAAGCTCTCGCCGTAAACTACACAATGCAGCCGAATGCAGCCTAAACACGCATCAGCGAGGAACCTGGGAGACAGACAATTGGGTGGAACTATTGATAAGTCGTTAACGGTTGGAGTTACTGATCTACGATTGGCTAATTCTTCAAAACTAGGAACGCACTCAACACGTGATATATGATAACACGAGTATTCAGCCAATCATCGGATGAATTAGTTGGTTCCGTTTTGCGTACTGGTTTTCCTGCTCTTGTTTCTGTAAAATCCGTAGTTTTTTCCATACTTTTCGTAGCTTGTAGTTTTTCATGAATTTCCGTAGAAACTACGGAGAATCCGTAGTAGTTGGAGTCTATGTATGCACTTCAGCCAATCTTCAAAATGAGAAACATCCACCCACCCAAACTTTTCCATGCCCCTGGGTTCTTATGCTCACTGTCTTTTTGCCCTTTACATGTACAGCCACATCTAGAGGCATCTCAAAATATATAGGGTGTCTGATAAGTGCTACCAATTTGTGATTGAATATAGTGCCCCCCCCTGCAGTTTGATCACGTGGTACTGAATTTCTTCTCATATGCTTTGGGGAGGCGCTGTGCAATTGTTGTTCTTCTCCTAACGCATAAACTGTTCCTCCTAAAAAATCTGTGTCTCTGCTTACCTTAAAACCTTCCCTTTGTACCTCTCTAGAAATTTAGAAGGCCTTTAACAGACACATTTCAGTAGAATCACTCGCATATCCGTAAAGTTCCTGTTCAATGTCAGTGTGCTTGGCATGTTGGCCTTAAAAAGCACACCGAGCACCACTGCTGCATTGAAGCAATTCTTTTTCTTCCACTAATCTCGAATACATGAATCACAAACATCGCATTTTCTCCCTGCAGCTCGATTTATTGTCAATTCCGCTTCATGCAGAATTTTAAGTTTCTCACTGATGGTGAACAAAAGCAAATGCTTGTCACTCATCTCAAGAACAATTGAGTGACATGTCTTTACTAAGGACAAATTTCTGGAGTTTCTTTTAAGAATGATTGATTTACCAGGTATTTGTATTCTCACATGGTTTGGTGATTCATACTGACACAAGATCAAGATCTTACATACATAAGATCAAGGAAGCAGCATAGCATGAGCTGGGCGAAATTTAAAAGTTTGTGTGTGTCTATGTTGTTGAGGGGGGAGAAGAAGTGCTTATGTTACCCTGGTCCAGCTGCCTTTTTCTTTCTTGATTCTTGAGGACAATTTTAGAGCTATGTTGACCAAACGGTAATCACACCTGCTTCTAAAGCTTGCTCCAAGACCGTTTTATGAGCCAATTGAAGAGGGGGGGGATACAGCATGTTTTTCTTTAAATGAAAGCTTATGACAGGGGGTGGGAGAACTGGTATTTCTGCCTAAGAAATTCCATGAATTGCAGCTGTAAGCAGGAAAGAAATGTCAAAATCTTGTTTCAGCACATGTCAATTATTTGGGAGGGAGAAGATTACTGACCTGTCTCGCCATACAACATCCTAGAGGGATGCTCTTGAGTTTCATGTGATTAGTAGGTTTGCTAATTTTGTTTAACTTTTGCGTAACTTCATTAACACATACACAATTTTAAGTTGTAGAACTTCTAAAGAGTTTTGTGACAACACAGCCGATTTGGTAACTGTGTATTCAGGTCAGTGGCCAGAACTAGAGGGGGGAGGAAACAAGTCACTGGCACAAGTTGACATGGAAAGCAGAGAAATGAACTTTTATTACAGTTTTCTACCAAGACACAGACAGCATTAAATCTACATTAAGCAAAATATCAGTAAAATGTACATTAAAAAATTTGTGCTTATTTACATTTTTTGCCATGTACACTTTTTAAATTGAACATTGATTCAAAGTTAGGAAAGGGGGCATCGAACTTCAGGAAAAAAAAAGGGGGGGGGGCAAAATGTTCAAATTATCTTTCTGATCGCTTAATAACAAGTCTCTTTTTGTGTTTCTTTATTTCCAGTTTCCAATCAAACTATCATACCTTATTTCTGTTGTAGCGATATAGACAATGAAGAAGGACAAGTTTTGCTTTTCTGCTTGATATCAGTTTTCTCTCCATGCGCTGCAACTTCCGCCACCTGCAAGCAGACACTGGCTTTGAAATGACAAAAACAACCCCTTCCTCCACTTTTGCCTTGGAACTGGTTTGTATACCGGAATTCCTTCTTCCTTATCAGCTTAGCTCCAGTGCTGCTGCCAATGCTATGACTAAGAAGCCAAGTTCTGCAAAAACCACCCAGAGAACAATAGTTTGCTGAAAGTACTGGTATATCCTCTACAAATCCCTGGCCAGGATTTACTATTTAAGAGGGTACAGTAGCATCATACAATGTTATATTTTCCTGGGGATACTGTAGCTTCAAAAAGAAATAAGTTATGCCGAACAACTTGCATTTACCTGGCCTATATTGCTTTGTTTCGCACCGCGCAAGCTGTGCACATCGATTTTTCTGATTAAAATTATCAAAAAAACCAGCGCGTTGTATTTGTGAACTTAAGGTAAGTAAATTTCATTCTTGCATAGCAAAACTTGAACAGGAAGGAGAAACTTTAACAGTAAATCGAAGAAACATTAAACAGTAGATACTTCCTGATGCAGTCAGTACATTGTATCACAGAGAACATATTACTTCACCCAGAAATAATTAAAGAAAATAAGAGTAAATTTAAATAACAGCTTTAAAAACTCCCCAATTACCAGTTGTTATCTGTGTTGTCCAAATTTTAGTTGCTTTATTGTACATATTTTTTCACTATTTCTCGTCATTCTTTCAATTTACGCGAATCTGAAATGATCAGCTTAAACACATGCATTGATAATGGAGAACCTGGAAATCATAATACAGGTAATTAAGTGAATGCTGGAAAAAGATTGTGCATGAATGACAGTAAAAATCAGAAATCCTTTCATTGTTTTAGTCAGCAAAGAGAACCGCTACAATATTATCATAAAGTTACACTAAAAAAGAAACAGTAATGCATATCCATAACAAATCAACAATGCATCTAAGTTACTTATGATGCATTATGGATATGGCATAAACAATAAAGAGAAAACTTTTCCAGAAAAGATGATGCAGTTTCACAAGCGGCCTTAACCAATTCTCAAAACTCACAAGACACAGGTGATAATTATTCAAGAATAAGACACTAGGAAGGAAAGAAAACTCTTGAGACTGCAATTAGTTATACAGAACAGCAAAATAATTCATCTGCTTCTATATCATCTTTATAAAAAAAATAGCTCAGCCTTTCTTTAAAAAGCATTAAAAATACATAACATATGTACATACAACATACATAAGCATGTGCAAATTTAATTAAACAAGAAAGGCGAATATTTACATGTAATACATACACATACTTGTCAAATCTACTTTAATATCTATATCATTTTACATGTTTTAAAAATTAACGAACCATTCATTTATCTGGCATTAAGTCCAGTCAACCACACACTAATTAATCAACAGTCTGCAGTACATAATACATAATACTCTCTTCCCCAAAAATTCTGTCCAAGTTTCCTAGTCATATATTGATTTAAAGAAGTCTTAGCAACTTACTTAATGTAATTAGCTTTTTTATCATCTTTCCAGTCTTTATTTAACTGATGTATCTTGCAAGCAACATACCTTTGATCTTTCAGATCAAAAGCCTAAAAAATTATTAAAAAGAATTTATATATATATATTAGCTGGAAATGTAAAATCACTTTTATTATAGTAGCAAATACCTAACATCTAAAACATCTGTATACAACTGATTTATTACAAGATATCGCTAAAAATTTGGCTTATGGTCATGTAATATATAATGGAATAGAGGATAAATTAACTACTTCTTTTACAGATCAGTTAAAATATCATCCACACAAATAAACTGCATTTGCAAAATTTTTGAAAAGTTATTGATGTAGTGAACATGAAAAATAAAATAAAATTAAAAACTTATATATAGTTTTATTTTAAGCTTCTTTATCTGACATCCCCACTGAACTATGTATTTTGAGGCCTATCAATAAAGACTGCACTTCCCATAGTTAGATATCCCATTAAAAATAAAATTAAATGCGAAACTTTCATGTAGTTTTTTTTAAAAGCTTCTTTATCTGATATCCCCACTTATCTATGTGTTTTGAGGAGTATCAATAGAGATTCTAGATCCCATAGTTAGATGTCACACTAAAAATAAAACTAAATGCAAAACTTTCACATATTTTTTTTTAAGCTTCTTTATCTGACATACCCACTGATCTATGTGCTTTGAGGAGTAACAATAAAAATTGTACTTCCCATAGTTACATAATACATTAGCTACATAAAATATATATTGTTATGAATTTTATATATATGTAAATAATTTTAGTAAAATTATATGGAAAATTATAGTATTTTTGTATAATGTAATATGAAATGCTTGAAAGAGATGAGGTTGTGCCAGTTATAGCCGAGCTGGAGATGGTTTTGGCCAAATTTGTGTTGCCAAATTTGGTGATAAATCGCCAAACTTGGTGGCATTTTGGTCTGATCCCTCTATAACTGCAATTGGTATTGTGATTGAATAAATGTAATTGATCCCATTACACATAACTGTAATCATATTTGGCTCTCATATGCCTTCCAGTACATTCGAGAAGTGGAAGGTAATAAGAGATTTCTCAGTGGTCAGAGGGAAACTATATAAGACTGGAATTTCAGTTTCTCAGATGTTGGTTCAGAACAACTTTGGAATATTGAGATATACGTGAGACCTCCACTTTTTACATGCGCTTTGCATTGCATTGTGTTTAACAGTCTGAGTAGTTTGGAGTATAACTACTGATTGTGTTCTGTGATATTAAGAGGAGTTGTATGAGTATTTTTGTGGAAATTTCCAGAACTGTAAAGTGCTTCATTTGGTAAACATAAATTTTATCAAGCTATCATGAGTTCTGTGAGCATTCAATCTATTACGACTGTGGGAGTACATTTTCTGCTTTACACTTAACCTTGCAGCAAATCATGAATAAAAAATTCTTTAAAAATTGCAAAAGACAAACAATAAATATAAATTTATAAAATGTTTTGTGCATAAATATATTACCTTATGAACTTCACTGAAACCACCCTTGCCAAGCAATATCAACAATAAATACCTATCATTTAGTACAGCATGGTTATTAAACCTAATTGAGAAAAAGAAAAAAATATTAAAAACTTCACTCAACATCAGATGAAATCTTTGCTATTTAATGTAATCAAGCAATAAAGAACATGTCTTTCTTGTAAGGCATTGAGTTTGGAAACAATTAAACAATGCATAAAGAAAGATTATTTTTCAGTATTTTATTAATATACACAAGGTGTTTCTGAATTCGACCGAAAAATACAGAAGGATGACAGTAGGACTCAAGAGGTTGAAAAATTACCACAGAACATTCGGGTCGCAAACCGCATTTAATGGATGAAAATTGCAAAAGCACATATCAAAAGGCTACTGAGCCTGATGAAGAAATTGGCCAAACAAATGCAAGGATTAGGAGTACTGTAGTTGAGAAGAGAACTCTTCATATGCAAACTTCCAATGCATATGGTGAAAATAAAAGCAGTGGTCAAAAAGAAGAAACCTTCTCATATGAAAATTTCTTATGCATATGAGGAAAATAAAAGCAGTGAGCAAGTATTCATAAGTGGGCATTTCAAAATTCATGAGTGTTAAAACTTCATTCAAAAACATCATGTCAGATTACACAAATGATGAATATGCAGATATGCATCTGATTTACAGCCAAGTACATGGCAATGGATATTTAACACGGAGGAGGTACCAACAGTAATCTGAGGAAGTGTTTCCATACCACCTTCATGAACAGTGATGGATTACTGCAAGAAATGCGATCCTTCCAAATAATATGGCAGAATGCAGGGCAAGAACACAGCATGCACACACCTGAAATAGAGAACCAAAAACTGCAATGGTTTGCCATTTCCCCCTTGACCACTATACCATTAGTTGCAGCTGAAGTGAGTATTTGCCATAAAATGGTGTGGAAGATTCTGCATACAGAAAATATGCACCTCTTCCATCTGCAGAAGGTCCAACTCCTAGGCAATGCTGGCCACCCCTATGGGTAAAGTTCCAATGCTGGATGCTTGATGTCACACACAATGATTCACAGTTTCCCACCACTGTTTTATTCTCAGTTGAAGCCTGCTTGATGAAAGAAAGCACGGTTAACATACACAATACGTGGTTATCCGAAAATCCCCACAGCATTGTTTTGTTGAAAGTGTAACACAAGTTTGGTATAAAAATATGGGCAGGAATTCTCGGAGATCATCTTTTGGGACCATACCTTCTGCCCGAACATCTCAATTGTATAAATTACCTGTACATTGTTTTCAACAGCACAAACCTCCCTTTTTAATTGCAGACTGGCCACTGTGTGAAAATATGTGGTTACTGTATGATGGTGTACCAGCACATTTTGCGACTGTGGTGCACAAACATCTCGATGCTCCATGTGCCCGGGAGGTGGAACGGATGGGATGGACCTGTTGCTGGGTCTTCATGCTCTCAGGATTTCATATTTCGATGCCACCTGAAATCAGTTGTTTATTAGACGCCTGTGGATACACTGGGGGATATGACAGCCTAGACTGTTTCAGCAGACATCGCCAGCACACTGGGTATATATGAACATGTCCAGCAATCCTTCATTTGTCGGGTTCAGCTGTGCAATGACCTTCGTGGCCAAAACTTCGAACAGTTCCTATAAAACTGTCTCATCGCCTCCTTTCTGACACTGAACTGTGATGCACTGTAATCCTGCTTTAGATTAAATAAATTATCATTGGCCCATTTTGTTTGCTTCGATGTCGCACCCATCACAACTATTTTTGCTATCTTTTCCCACTTGATGTGGTTTGTGACCCCATGTTCTATAACAATCTTTTGTCCTTTTGATGCCTTCTATCACTCCACTGTCAACTTTGTCAGTTGAATTCGAAAACATCCCATGTATATATATATATATACACACACACATACGATAAAGCATATTCTTCTGAATTCAAACTAAAATAATGTAGCTTATTCTTAAAACATGAAGTTACAATTGCTTTCCATGAATATTTAAAGTTTAAATATACAGAATAATCCTAATGTTTTTTACAGAATAATCATGAATTCGCTTGCCTGCATATAAAGAGACATTAAAAGATTACTCATGTAAAGATTTTAAGATAGACTGTAAAAATATACCTTTGGCTAGTGAAATCTTCTTTATTCTAACTAAGATGCAAAGGGTATATATTATATATATGGATAGTGAGGTCATACTGAGTTTAAGAACTTGCTATTCAGAGAATTTTCTAGCCTCAACATTTTATGTCTACAATTCATAAGATACAAAGATTAAAAAATAAATAAATAAATAAATAAAGTCCAATAAAAATAATTAAAAATTTTTTTCTTGCTTCAAAATTCCATGCATAGAAATCAGGATCTATTGCTTAGTCTGACATTTATGCAGAAATAAAAATGCAATAAGAATGACACATAATTTTTTGTAAAGATTTTTTTGCAACAAAATAGAAAAAAAAGGATATTATTAAATAATCCGAAGACAAAAATATATGATAAAACTTAACAAATAAATGTGTGATTGGTAAGTTTGTTCTGCATTCATCAGCAGAAAGAAACCTGTTTCATGTGATAAGTTAAAATGGCAACATCTTACAATACTAAATCAAATTAGCTGCAGAAATTTTAAAAATATCATTGTACATATATTAAATGCTATAATTACTTCCAACTTTGGAAAATTTAATTTTGTAAAAATCCTGCTGTAATGATTAAATGAAGTATACATGAAGTTACACATGCATGCTTTTAACTGCATAATAATTTCAAATTCTGAGAATTACAACTATTCACACAACTAAAACATATGCATTTTGTTTTTAAACACGTATTGGGAAATCTCAGATAAGCGGCACTTGGCGTAATTTTTTCCGCTGTCTTGAATTGTGAAAAATCGCCATATCCTCGGTAGGAATTTTTTGACGCCAAGAGAAAATGGCATCAAAAGGCGCTTTCCAAAAATTCTCTCTCCAGCCCAATATAGGGAAAAAAGCTCTGCTAGGTGAAAATCAGGTTAAGGCAAAGTGTAGCGTTTGCTTCGAGAAGCTAAACCATACACATAGAACAAATTGTAAGTGATTAGTTATTGTTGTGATTAAATAAATCTATGCACTTTTTATCATCTTAGTATTTTAAATTATGATATATATAACTCCAGCATTATTAAATTTTATACTTCTCTTTTATAATTCTTAGCATTAATTTGAACAATTATCCGTAATAATGGTTATATATGTTTGAAAACATGTTCTTTATATAAATGTATTAATGATCAAGAAAATGCAATATATATCACATAGTTAAAGAGGAAAGTTTAAAAAAATAAAATATGCATGTATTTCCACAATACTATTACATTCTTGAAATATATTCCAAGCTATTCAATCATCATCCAGTATGGCTTATGTTGGACATTCCGGATTCTTTTATGCTCATAATTTTGCTTAATCCAGTTAAGAGGATTGTTTTTATTATTTTTCCTTTTTAAATGCAAAGCTAGTTTTCATGTAGGTAAACAATGAAATGTAATCATGAATTGCATAACTGCAGGGAAACAAGATTTGTAGCAAGTACTTCTACGGCCTTTCACGATGTTATGCAATTGTTTAAATTTTGGAGAGAGACCAATCAAACAGAATGGGATAACGTTAATTGAATTTGTCTGTATTTATTTCGTGAAAAGCTAAATCATAAAATATTATTTTTGTGCAACTAGAACGTTGTCTATGACAGTAGTTTCAAGCTGGCAGCCCCTGAAGCAATTTTATGGCTGTTGGCAAATGTATTTAAGTTATGCATTTGCTGCAAACACAGTGATGCAAAGATTTCTAGGTTTTACTTATTTGATGTTTGGGTTTGCATTACATGCATTACTATTAAACATGAAGATGAGTAACATATCAGAAAAAATTATAAATATAAGTCTTATTCAAAGCTTTGAAGATACAAATTTAATTAACTTTCGTTTTTTTGTGAAAAAATAAAGAAACGTTTGCTCATGTTTTGGCTAACGGTTTAGATTTTTTGCTGATATACCTAACTTTTAATTCACAAAATCCTCTATATAAAGAAATCAGTGAAATATGCTTGATGTAGAAAAATAGGAGAATAATGTTTATTTAATACTAAGTTATTAGCATTTATACTAACTTACATACTTATTAGCATTATAACATACTAAGATACTTACTAGAAATTAAATAGCATTTCAAAGTCTGATTATTATGTTATTGAATTTTTAATATTTATATTTGAATATAAATTTGATTATGAGGGTTTAAAAACAGCTTTTATGATACAGGGTGTCTTTCAGTATCAGTAGATAATTAAAAATTATTATTATCAATATTAAGATAATTTAAAAAAATTCATTCCAATTAAAAATTATCTGAAAATACAAGCGATAAGTTAGAAAAAGAGCAGCAATTTTATTCTAATAAAAATAAAATCATTTTATTCTGATTAGAAGTGTAATTGATTTATTTAAGGCTATAATTAAAAATTTTAAATAAATTTATTTTGAAATTAATTATATGTAAATACACATGGGATAATGTGAGCCATAAGTATGGAAAAGGAGCATATTTTATAATTTTCTTTCATAAAAATAAAATTATCTTTTTCTAATTACAGGTGAAATTAATTTATTTAGAAAATAATTAAACAGCAAATTCAAAATGTCTACTGACAAAGTCATGTGAGCATCAGCATGAAGATTTATTTGCAAAGTCACGACACCCAACGCAAAGTACCTACGTTTAAAAAGAAAATACAGTCAAATACCGAAAACCCGTTGACTTGAAATCCACATTGCCTCTCAAATTATAAACGTTTAGTTTATAGGTTTCGGAAACTACAACATGGAGTACGAAACATCGAAGAAAAAATACTTACTGGATAATGACATCATAATTACAGAACAATGATGATTCGTAGCGGAAATACCAAATTATTAACATCATGATAAAGAGTTTTTCCCCCTCCAATCTGAATCGAGGTAAAAAAGCAGATGATTAATTCAACTCTTTTTTCAAGTTCACGCTTCACGTTGTTGTACTTTCTAAGCTTTGTTATTTCACAAGATGTCGGTTTTTTTTATTTTTTTATCCGGATATTTTGTGGATAAATTAAGAATATTTTAAATTTCAATGCTTCTTAATACAATGGCAGATAAGAAACACGCTCGTGATTTTACTGCTTGCAACGTTGAAAAATGCAAACACATTGCATTGATGGTAATGAAAAAAGTGGAAATTCTGCTAAAGATGGAGGTAGGTGCTACTGCTTGGTTTATAGCAGAATCATATGGAATTGCCACACGGACTGTGTATGATATATGGAACAATAAAGAAAAGCTGTTGAAATTTTACAGCAACAGTGATTCTAATACCGGAAATCTTAACACGAGGCGAAATCGGCAAACCTCGATGCTGTCTTGTACGAGTGGTTCTGGCAGCGGTGGAGTGATGGGGTCCTTAATTTCAGAACTACTTCTGAGAGAAAAGGGGAAGCAGATTTATGCTGATTGAAAAATAGAGGAGCCTAATGTAAATGAACAACATAATATAATCAAATGCATATAATTAATTATTGTATTAATGTATATAATAATTTAACTAAATGTATCTAATACACCTTATTTATTTTGCATTTTTAGTCTGAATATTATCTTTTCTGTCTTGAAATCCGCAAAATCCCAAAATCCACACAACCTTGGGTCCCAAGCATTGTGGATTTCTGGACTTCTACTGTATCCCTTTCCCTATCTTAGTTAACATCTGAGATAGGAACCTAAACGCTCTTCCCACTGTTTGGTGTCTATCGCCCAAGTTGGCGAATGAGATTTCAGGAACGTCGCCAAGTGCCGGTTATCTAAGTATCCCCCATGTATTTTTCAGTTGCTCAATAACAGTTAAAGCTTTGCAATTCTTAGCTTACCGAGACTGATCTTCATTATGGATGCGTTTTAACTCTCTTATGTGAAGATTTCTCTCTCGTTCCAGCTTCTCAAGCTCCACCTGTAAATCTGTGTCTTCCTTTTTTAATGAAGCTTGCCTAAGCTTTAGAATTTCTTCATGTTCATAATACTCCAACCATGTCAATTTTTGAATTATACTATGGAGAAACAAGAGGTGTAATGATAAAATAATTATGCAAATAATTTTCATGACACAAAATTACAATGAATGTATCATATGTAACATTTTATATATATTGAAATTTACTACTACTACAGGGAACAATCAATTTTTGCACCGAATAAGGAAAGGGAAAAACTGTTAAAAAAGAGTTTAGATTAACGATATTTAATGATATTTTCTCTATGATAGGAATTTTATCCTGACAGATTTTTGAATTATGATTTTTGCTTTACCGTATATCATAATGAAATGACATTTATAAATAAAAGAAAGTTGCATAAAAATTATTGAGCTTTGCTTGATGACAATCAAGAACTACTGCAAAAAGGAGAACTGAAAGGTTAACCATAGATGTAATTAATTCCCGAAATTATATCGCATGTTGTACGGCACAACATTGTTATTTCTGCAATCTAGCCTTTTCTGGATTCTTAAACACATTGCTATCAATTTTCAACTATTATTTATATGCTTTATTTATATATATATATTAAAAAAAACAACACTATTATTTTACATCTGTTACTGAACATCAGTAACAGTGAACAGGGCCCAGACAGAAAAAGTGCAAATAAACTACCCATTAAAGGACATTTATGAGTAGCAAATGCAACTTCTCTCCTACTTTGACAATCTAGATATTCTGGAACTGTCACTATAACGAAGTGCACATTAACAAGCTTACAAAAGAATTAATGAAATGAAGTGCATATTAAACAACAGATACACTTTTTTCATGTATCGATTAGGCATATATATTTGTTAACCCATTTTACTTGCTTCAAAATCAAATATGGCATGCAAATAAACTACATATATACTATATATACTATATAAACTAGATCAAAAGATAAGTGTAAATTCACTGAAGAACTGACTATGAATTTTCATGTTTTATACTATGAGACAATCTGAAAAATAGCAAAATTACATGCAGAATGGGATACTGCTGTATCTTCAGTAAAGATCTGTAACTTTAGTATCAGATTCAAAAAGATCAGTTAAAAACTAAGGAGCAAAAGGAAATAGCTTTGGCAGAAACTTCTTCCTGAAAACTGATAAAATATGTTATCAATAGGGAGTAATTCTGAAGAAGTTTCAATAGTTGAAGGTGTTTTTTCTTTTCCCACAATAAAGCATCACGACAGTCACAAATCAATGGACCATACATATGTCCGATTTTAAGAACACACTTTCTGGCTCTGAAGAAACTTCAAAACTTCTGAGCGCAAGAATAAAAACAAAATCAATTGTTAAATATTGTGTTTTCACCTCATAAAATGTAAAAAGTGAAATTTTAGGTTCTGTTTCCTTGGTTAAAAATTTACATAATATACAAATCAAGATACTTATAAAAACTAATTATAAAACTCACTCTTTTGGAGGATCTGGCTTAGCAAAATCTCCATTTGCTACAGCTACAGCAGTACCATTATTTGCCCGACCCTTTGGCTGTGCTGTACTTGGTTTTCTTTTGCCAAGCAATTTTCTTTGCCTTTCTATTTCTTCTCTTTCTGTTGCAATCTGTTCTTGTTTCCTTTAAAATGAAGTGCATTTATTTTTACTATTTTCTTGTAACAGATGTTAAAGAAAATAATATGTATATGTAATGAATGCAAACATTAGGTATAAACTGAATGTACTTATGAACATTTTCCTCTTGTATCAAAATGATTTTGAATGAAATAAATGAAATGAAAGCAAAATTAAAATCTACTATCTTGGAACAAAGAGGTTAAGATTAGACCAAATATTTAATGCACAAGATGTTAAAGAAAATAACAGATGTTAAAGAAACCTCCATATCTAAAACAGTTATCTTGCAAAATATTATAAAGCCATACAGCTTGTCAACATCTTAAATGCATCAATTACCCAAAGATATTCACATAAAGTGTCATTTAATACAGCATTAGTAAAATATATGATCAAGTGTTTCCTTTTCAACTTTTCAGATTGTGAATAACAGCCTGACATGCATCCTTTTTTAAATGGAAAACTAAAACAATGCTTATTTACTGGGAAACCGAGGGGCCGGATTTAGAATTCAAGATGCCCTAAGCAATCTGAGATATAGGGCCCTTTATAAGTCTGTTATAAAAAACTAAAACTAAACTCAGTGGTATAACAGCCCTAATGGGCCAAGGCTTGCAGTGCCCATAAGTCTGTTATACTATATTTTAAAATTTTTTGAGGGCTCTTAGCTATAGCCTGTGTAACTTATATGTAAATCCTGCACTGAAAACCAGACAATTCTGACACATTCAAACTTTCTGCATCTAAATAGTGCAAAATTAACAAATATTAAGAAGTAATTGTTACCGATTGTTACTTGAAATGATGACATAAATACAGAGTGAAAAAAAGGTAGCCTTTGAATTTCTTAACCGAATATTCTTGTTGGTACTATTCCGTTACAGCAGCGTTAGTTAAAAGTGCACCACTCTCTCTCTCTCTCTTTTTTTTGCCACCAATTGTAGCCAATTATATCATAATAAAATTATGATATAATAACAGAGTTCAAACGACTAAAAAAAAATAGTTCCATAAAAAGTAAATTTTTAAAAAAATTTCTAAATTAAAAACATTGGCATAAAATTCCAAATATCATTCAATATTGCAGATAAAATTTCAGTTTTTGAATATAACCGACACCACATAAGTTCTATCAAATATGACTATAAATGGCAACGAACTCGCACGCTGGTGTCACCTCACTGATCTCCATTTAGCCCTGCCCCACATTTTGGGTATGGCATCCAGTTTTGGGGTCTACAAAATTATAACTGTGATTCACAGTGAAATGTTCATATCCAGCATTCCTTAATTCTTCTTTCTTATATCCTTTCCAGCAGCTTGAAGATATAATGCTGCCATCTGCAATGTTTTGTTGAATGGCAGTCATAAATGTTGTAGCACAACGATCAAGAATGGTGACCAGAAAATATTCATAAACCTCCGAATACCCATTATTCCAGAACACATCCAAAGTTGCATTTTCCTTTTGTGAAAAGACTTTTGTTGGCTCCTTTTACAAGACATCAAATTATTTGCACATACATTCTTTAAGCAGCTATTCCAATCTACTGTCGTATTATGGCTGATTTCTAACTTAAGTTGGCAAAATTCAAACGATGTCAATTCCTGACACCACATAGATAAAATGAATGGCACTGAGGAAAGAAAAATGTGAGCTTTCAAATCATGTTTTGGTTCTCAATCCCACCCTTTTTTTTTCACATCGAGAATGTATGCCATATACAAGCTTTGTTTAAGTCAAAAGTTAACTTCATTGGATAATTTTGAAACTAAAGCCTACTGCTATGAATTATTCCTTTGTCCTGAAAAAGAATCTTATGGCAGCCTCTTCATCATTAGGTAATTGCCATATTGTGCAATCCATAGTACCCCTCCCCCCAAAAGGGGGAAAATAACGAGTGGCAATGATAATAATAAAAAAAATCTTAAAATAGCAAGTGATGATATTTCAAATAAAAACTACAAATCTTGAACCATGATATTTCAAACTTTAAATTATTCTCGAGCCACGCTATTTGGCTTGGTTTATCATGCATTTTTAACTGACGCTGCTCTAACGAAATTGTACCTTCTTGCCATCAACCATATATTACAGCAGCTTTCCTGGAAAAAAAAATCATTAAATAAAAAATGCAGAGTATGAACAACTGCCAATCAAAAAAACCTACACTAACAAAAATGTCATACAAAAAAGTAAAAATGTAATAAAATTACACTTATATTAATTTCTTGCATGCAGCTCATGTACACTTATCTCTTGCATATAGTTTCTGGTGGCATAATAGCTACAACTGCTATTAATGGGTTCAAAAAGCTCCCTCCCCCAACGTAACCTCTGGTGATGTTGAGGCATACTCTGCTGATACTTAAGGTGACATTGAGTCATACCGTAGTGTCATTTATCCTGCCGTTAAGTGTAGCCTAATAATGCTTCTGTATTTCTGGATGAACAAAACTGAGTATATGATTTACAATTAAATAAGTGTATCCAGCTTTTTCAGTTTCTATATATTGCTGGTTTGACAATTGTCTGACATAGTTTATCTTTCCTTCACATGTTCTACAATCATTTCCATAACAGTTATTGCATTTCTGTTCGATATTTCAATGAGAAAGCATTCATGAGTTTCTCGACAAATCCAGCCTAAAATCCACTGATTCTGAAGAACTCTTCCAGCACTGTTTTTATACCAAACACAAAAGCTTTTTTATTTTCCCAATCTTGTGTTCATCACTTAGTCATCTTTTATACCATTGTATTAAATGCTCTGACTAAACCTCTCTAACATAACTATTCTGTGGGAAATGTTATGTCATGATATTCCCTAATCCCCTACTGTGTGACGTATGCATTGCGTCAGCATGTGTTTCCCACCTTCGGGAGAAGACGAGAATTAGCTGGCGAGCGGAGCAGACGTCGCTCGATCGCTCGTTGTATTCCATTTTCATTAATTGTAATCCTAATGTAATCTATATTTGTAAATAGTAATAAATGTGTGTTATCAACTATGGTCGTTGCCTTTCCCCAAATTTTGGGGGCTCGACCGTGCCTTTTGTGCATGTGTTAATAGAACCCTAGACACCAGCAATCACTAAAGACGTTCAGAAAGCTAACAAAGGCAAGACGTGACTTTATGACGATTTAATATTCTTCTTCAAGCCAGACGACGTATGTGAATGAAGACGTGCCTTTATGACGATTTAATATTCTTCTTCAAGCCAGACGATGTATGTGAATGAAGACGTGCCTTTGATGATTTAATATTCTACAAGCTGGACAACATATGTGAATGATGCTACATGCTACTTGTCCGTTCTTCTGATTTTGGACGTTAAAATCGAAATTCGATTTTGGATTACATTGGATTGGCCAAGAAATATATCGGATTATAAGGACTGCCCCGAAGTTAGGTAGGCCCATTTTCCCCTGATTCCTTCATAATTTATTAGCATTACGATTTTAAGCTGTGTTTTTATACTGTTTAATTTTCATTCATACATACCCTATTTCATATTCATATTGTCCTATTTTACTGTTTAAAGAACTATGGCCCTAAAATTAGGTGATATCCCACTGATAGCGAATTCTCTTAAATATGGCACAACACGAGTTATTAAATTATTTAATACCGTGCTCGGATATTCCGATTTTGATCATTCTTCGCGAAAGCGAATGCGAAATTTTGCCGCGTTCCCGGACAGTTTCGATTTGGCAAAACATAAAGAACTTCTATTAAAAGATTTTTCTTTATCAGATTTTATATCAGTGGCTAATTTATTGCATTTGGAAGCTTCCACTAATAAAGATGTTTTATGTGAAAAAATTTTTCATGCGCTCACTAATCTGACGGATTTTCACAGTTCCCTAGATGTTAGTTTTTTATCCGATGACGATCATTCAATTTCAAACACCGACAGTGCACTGACGCCTGTAGATCTAAGTTCTTCTGTTCCCCCTTTCCCTCCCTCCATGGCGCCAAGCCTAAATCGTGTTGTTTCTTCTGATGCGGAAGTAATAAATTTGAATTCGAGTCGCTCCGGTGTTTATATGACGGCGAACACCGAGATTCACGAGATGAGTCATGACTTATGGTTTGTTTTGAGAGATCTTTCAAACACTTGCAGAAACTTTTCAGGCAATGATTCCTATTCAGTCCGTGCTTTTTTCAACGATATAGAGGATAATTTCCAATTATTCCCAAATCTTACCGACCAGCAAAAATTAGTTTTTGCGAAACGACTTGTTGTGGGTACTGCTAAAACTTTTTTGTTTTCACAACGGAATCTCAATTCATACGACATGTTTAAAACAGTATTACTTAATGAGTTCTCCGATAAAAATTACGTCTATTGAAATTCATAAACAACTCGAAAGAAGAAAAATGCGCTCGAATGAAAGCTCTTTGCAATATTTTATCGCAATGCGCGAAATTGCGAATCGTGGTGACGGTGTTATCGACGAGGCTTCTGTCATTCAGTATACCATTCAAGGAATACTAGGTACCCCATCCGATAAAATTATTCTCTACGGTGCAAAATCATATTCTGAATTCAAGGAAAAGCTACGCACTTATGAAACTGTAGTTACGACTAGACATACAAATATCTCTCATCCATCAAATTTTAAAAATACGTATAATGTGGTACTGGACGAAAAAATTCAGAGCAACAACACGACACGAAATTTAATAATACTGGTCCATCTAAAACTAAACCACAAACTTGTTTTAACTGCAATGAGGTCAGGACACCTCTCACGGTCCTGTCCTAATCGTTCTCTTGGCCCAAAGTGTCTAACTTGTGGTCGTTTTGGACACAAATCTATGGATTGCCGCCCCACTAATGAGACTTCCACTCCACCTGCCGAAGTAGTAAATACAGTACAAACCTCTCACGGTAATATGTGTAAAACTGTCGTTATACTCAATAGCACAGTTTCTGGATTAATTGACACTGGAAGTGAGGTCACATTACTGAACGAAAACACATGGATTCAAC